TTCAAATCCCTGTTTTCTTCCTCAGTCTCCATCAGGCCTGGTCTCCTCTCCAGATACATAAAACACAACATTGCTGTACTATAAGTAAAGATGAATACTCTTAACATAAATCCTTAACAACCCTCTAATGGGCTTTGCTATTGGTTATACCCTTAAGTTCAATGTTTAGTCATTGTTAGAATTGTAATGGTATGAAATCCTGCATTGGTACTCTGTATCGGCAGCTACCTAAATGTAAGTACTTTGGTCTGAAACAAAGTGGTATCCGTGCATCCCTACCCTTTATACCTGTGTACACCTTCCACCACACCACTGGCACCAGTGTGCTGCTTTGAGTCAGAATGAAACAGCAGGCCTGTTATTGGCTGATGGTTACCATGGAGACCACAGCTGCTGGCCGGATTGGTTACTTAATACTTTAACTACTATTTTAAAACCCTATTTGTCCCATTTTAACTGACCTCGCCTTGGTTTTACAGGAGAACTGAAATACACACATTGTGTGTAGTATTTTTACTGTACAAATATAGAAATATATAAGTATTATTGCACAGTAAGCAGTGGTAGTAGTATTAGGAGCAGTGGTAGTGGTAGTTGGTAGTGGTTATAGTAGAAATAGTAGTAGTAGTAGTCATAGCAGCAGCAGTAGTAGTAGTAGTAGTATTACCATTTACAGTATTAGCAGCAGTACAGCATGGTATCTTAATGTAGCAGCAGTGTCCATAGGAATACTATCAGTGGTAATGTCGGTAAAAATCATATAGAAAATATTATGAGTGATACAGTAGCGGTTTTTGCAGTAGTAGTAGTGTAGGTAATAGTACTGGTACCAGAGGTAGTGGTAGTAGCTGTAGTATTATCAATAGTACTCTCAGTCCTCACAGTAGTTTCAGTTTCTTGCTGCATTGCAGATTTTTTCCTTTGAGCAACAACACACACCTGTGTGTGTGTGTGGACAGTGATGGTTAAGGTGCCCTTGGCTCAGTGCAGCAGCTCACAGTGTGCATGCTAATGTGCACACACACACACACACACTGTGGGGACTCCAGGGTGGTTTCTAAGGAGACGCCAAAGTGTGTGTGCACGTGTGTGTGTGTGAGATAGGGAGTGGCAGCAGCAGTGGTAAAGTAAGTAACGGTGTCAATGGAGTTTTTCATTCACTGCAGTTGACAGAAAATAATCGGCAGTATTTCTGTTAATCATTGAATCATTTGAGTCATTATTTAATCAGACTCGTTGGGCTCTGACAGCCTGAGATGAACATGCTATAAACCAGACGATTAAAAAAGTATGACACTGCTACAAAGATGTCCTTTTCATAAACTGGGCTCTCGGTGATGTAGAGAGACACAGATACACAGAGAACAAAGGAAAAAGAAGGTGGCGTTGGCTTTTGTATGAGAGTTTTTCAGCCTCTGTTTTCACTGTGCGGGAAACAGTATGGCGCCCACTTCCTGCTCACAAACTCTCGTATTACAGCCAAACAGGGCACTAAAATATTTTTCTGGATACATTTGAGGTAAGAAAGAGGCCATGCAGTAACAGAATCCTGATTTATATTCGACCAGCACTGCCAAGTTTTACTAACTGAGGGGCAGCTCTGCCTCTCAAACTGCCTCTATACTCTTTGTGTCCATGGTGGCGGCTGTATGATCATGTAGAAGAACAAATGACAAAAATTGCGTTATGTGTCATACACCAGATTTGAGCTGGGAGATGAGCAGGGAGATCTGGGCGCTAGTTAGATGGAGGGAAGTTTAGCACAGTTCATTTATACACACTACCCACATCATTATGATACAAAGCTGGTTGAAAATATCCCTGTACTTGTTATTTAAAATAATCTGCTGATGAATCAATAAAAAAGTAATCATTAGTTTTAGATATTTGGCTCTCCATGAATTCTAAAGGCTCATTTATACTCTCAAACATTGTAAATGTCATTGCCCTCATACTCCCATGTGTCCTTTATGATGGCGCAGACACAGCCAATAGATGGCACTAGAGGGCGGAGTCAAAAGTTGCAGACAGCAACAAACCAGGTGACAGTGGAGGAGGTCATAATCATGTACCTTTAAATGGACGCAGCATTGTGGACTGTCTGTAAGGCTATTAAATAGCAGGGGTGGCAGTAGCTCAGTCCATAGGGACCTGGAGAAGGAACAGAGGGTCACTGGCTCACGTCCCAGTCCAGACCAAATATGGAGTGTGGACTGGTAGCTGGAGGCGCCAGTTCTCCTCCTGGGCACCCCTGAAGTGCCCCGAGCAAGGCATAAAACCCCCAACCGCCCAGGGCGCCTGTCTATGGGCAGCACCCTCGTACTGACATCTCTCCATTTAATGCATGTATAGGTCCTGTGTGTGCATGTGTGTGTATTTCAGGCCTGTGTGTGTATGACAACAGAGTGAAAAAACTGAATGTCCCCTCTGGGATTAATGTAGATGAGGAGTTATTTTCACTATATTGTCAATTCGATCCATTACGACATTATTTAACAGCCTTCATCTCGTCTCCTATGGTCGTATCTTGCTTGAATTACGCTACACTGCCTCCATGATCTCCAGTGGTTCTGCTCTGTTTCATCCATATCTGCGAACTCTCAGAAAATCTGCACAAAGTGAATGCAGAGTACGGACAAAATGATCTGTCTCCGTCTCCATATCTCCACAGCCCCAGACGTTTAATCATCAGCAGTTTAATTCCAGTCTGGAGCCTTTGTCACATGACATGTTTTCATCTCCTCTGTCATATAATCAATAAGTGGATGCAATAAATCAGTTCATCTACTGCAGTCTGAGTTTCAGACATCCAGACTCTGCTTACTTCGTTATTTCACCATCACAGGAAACTGTATACAGCAAGAGGATTCCTGGTTTGAACCCTAGGGTGGAGTTTGCATGTTCTCCCTGTGTCAGCGTGGGTTTCCTCCAGGTGCTCCAGCTTCCTCCCACAGTCCAAAGACATGCAGGTTAATTTGTGACTCTAAATTGTCCGTAGGTGTGAATGTAAGTGTGAATGGTTGTCTGTGTCTATGTGTCAACCCTGTGATAGTCTGGTGACCTGTCCAGGGTGAACCCTGCCTCTCACCCAGGATAAGCTGTCACACAAAATGGATGCATGGATGCAGGAAACTTGTTAGATATGGTGATATGAGACTGGATATGGTCTTAGATTTTGGATATGATAAGTAAGAGTGTCTTCTCCTTGGTTTAAAGGCTGCGTTACAGTGCAGTGATGACTGTTCCAGCTGTTGTATCGCTTGTCTTCACCCACTCAGTCGTTATATTCACAGTACTGATGATGATTGATCAGAAATTTCACTGTAAATATTTTGTGAAATCACGAACAGTCAACCTGACAGCACAGTTGCAATATTGATATCAAGGTATTTGGTTAAAAATAACCTGATATTTATATATAAAATAACATCTGCAGCTGAATAATTATCTTCTGTTACACAGTCGACTCAAATGATCTCACAACGCAGCATCAGCCCCGTCTGTCTGTCTGTCTGTCTGTCTGTCTGTGCATCACTGCAGTCTGTTTTCCTCCTCCGTTGCCATGCAGGGATGCTACGGTTGCCCTGGTTACCAGCCTCCGGTTGAAAACATCATTTATTCAGGAATGTGCCAAGGAAACAAAGACAGACAGACAGAGAGAGAGAAAACGTGATGATGTATAAAACGTGTGTCTGAATTTTACACAGCGATGTGTCGCTAACGTTCGTGCCAGTAAACCTATTTGAATGTGAGGGGGCAGAGAGCCTGCAGGTGACAGGTGATGAGGTCACAGGTCAGGTGTGTGTGTGTGTGTGTGTGTGTGTGTGTGTACGTGTACATGTGTGTGTTCCTCCCGCTCGTCATCTCACCGCTTCAACTCCATTTATAGACGATGATGTCAGCACTATCTTTCTCGCAGCATGCTCCCCTCCTCCCCCGCTCTGACACCTCTAGTCAGTATAATGCAGTCTCAACACACCCCCTCTCTCTGTGTGTGTCCCCCCCCCATGTTTCTCTTCCCCTGACAAATGACCCCCCCCACCCCCACGCTGCTGCCGCATTCAAACAGAACCAACATGTGCTGTTGTTTCTTTGTCTCGTCAGATTGGTCGAGTCGAGGTCGTCGTACCAACGAACACTGATCACGTTGTGCTCATATATAGGGCACATACTGACTCACGTGTGGGTCCATGTTTGGCTCTAATGGACCCTGTCAGTGGCTCGATTTAGCACATTTAAACCCACGTTTAGTCCACATGTTTTGCATTAACACATGCACAGTGAACAAAAATCCATCCCTGATTCATTTCCTTCAATAGACTGATTGATTAATAAACTGATCACTCTTCAGCTGACACAGAGAGACTTAAGCTTTAATATTCAACTCCACCCGTTACTACAACACTCATCAATTATTAGTACGTAAAGAAGAGGAGAAGCCTTTCTCACCTCCTCCTCCTCCCTCTCCTCTCTGTGAATGGAAGCCTCTCTCCTCTATCAGCATCTCTGCTCTCTGTCACCATGGGAAACCACTGATGTGTTGCCTAGCAACAGCAGCAGCAGAGACTGAGACGGTCTGCAGCAGCTGTATGTGATAGTTTCTGAGCTGCTAAATGACCAAGCAGGAGGTTATAGTGGCGGCCATTTTATCTCCACCCATCACACCTACACACACACACACACACACACACACACACACATACATACATAAACACACAGACACACACGCAGTGGTGTCCTCTGACTGACTCCAGAGGCAGCAGACTGTAGAGAGACGCCAGACGGCTGTTACTAATGGGCTTTTCCTGCTGCGTGTGTGTGTGTGTGTGTGAGACGCAGCTGATGACACACACACCAAATAAAAATCAGAGAGGTTGCACAGTTGACATTTTGTGGAGTAATTAATCATTGTTGTCAGTGGATCGATGAATAAACAGACGCGTGGAGGCTGAGAGTACCTCCACCCTTCTCTCTACTGTTCTCTTCTTTTTGTTATTCAGAGATGACTGGTATCGCAGAGGAGCTCCCAGTGTTTCCACAGCAACCCAGCCAGCTGCAGGAAGTCATCCGCAGTCCTCGACCAGTCACAGTCAGGCGGCAGCGAGGAGAGCCAATGAGACGCTGAGGGAGATGGGACGTTTGAAGGCTGAGATGAAGATGCTGCTTACGGTGAGTTGGTAGAGAAGAAAATTAGAGTACAGCAGTTGAACACAGTCGAGTACAGTAACATCAGGGGGCCCTGGTGTCTGTTTGTTTGTTTGTTTGATGTCTGAATGACTCTCCATCGTCCAACAGCCAGAAGACTCTCTGATAACCATTAGACCTGGACCAGACCACCACCAGGCCCAACAAAATCTGCTTCAGTCCCAAGAATCACACTCCAATCCAAACCATTTACGATCCCAGTCCCAACAATCCAAGTCCCAGTCCAAACAATCCAAGTCCCAGTCCCAACAATCCAAGTCCCAGTCCCAACGATCCCACTCCCAGTCAGAACAATCTCATTCCTTGTCCCAACAATCCAAATCCCAAGAAAACCTGCTCCAGTCCCAACAATCCCACCACCATCCAAACCATTTACAGTCCTCACAATCCCAGTCCCAACAATCCAAATCCCAAGAAAACCTCCTTCAGTCCCAACAATCCAAATCCCATCAAAACCACTTACAATCCTCACAATCCCAGTCCCAAAGATCTCATTCCCAGTTGCAACAGTCCCAGTCTCAAGAATCTCATTCCCAATACCAACAATCCAGATCCCTACAAAACCTGCTTCAGTCCCAACAAAACCACTTAGAATCCTCAGCCCATCAATCTCATTCTCAGTACCAACAATCCAGATCCCAACAATCTCATGCCCCATGCCAGCAAACCGAGCTCCAACAAAACCAGTCTCAATTCCAACAAGTCCAGTCCCAACAAAGTCCGACCCATCAAACCCAGCCCCAGTTGTCCCAGCAGTCCCAGTCTGTGGTGGTCCAGAGGAGGCCTGTGGTCCCGTCCATGTTCGAGGAGGCGGGTCTGGTTCTCCGTCAGGTTCGGCGACAGAAGAAGGTTTTGGAGGAGAACCTGGAGGCTCTGCTGAGAGCCAAAACTGGGGAGGTCCTGAACTGCCAACTGGAGGCAATGGCTGCTAACAGGTAGCTAATGCTAACTTACTGTCCGCTAACTTATGGCTAACATTAACATACTCTATGTTAACCTTATGTGTGCTAACAGGGAGGCAATGCTAGGTAATGCTAAGGTATTAACAGTGACTTACTGCTAAAAGGTAACTAAAAGCTAACTTTATTACTTCTATGGTAGCTTCTAATATTATTTTAAAACGAATGCTAACACTTATATTTTCACTAAGAGGTAGCTGGCTAGCTACCAGTTTGCTATGTGTAGTTAATGCTAACTCTTTAAAGGAAATGAAAGGATAACATTACCCTTTATCTTAACCTTGTCTGCTAACTGTTAGCTAACATTAACTAAAGGACTACTATTGTCTACTATCTTGAGTTAACTTAATGTGTTAATTAAATGTCAATTAAAACATATCTTATATTAACTTTATGTCTGTAAATGTTAGCTAATATTAGCTAAAGGACTGCTAACATGTATCTTGTGTTAACTTTATGTCTGTTAACTGAAAGTGTGCTTACATGTAGCTACCTAATGTTTACTTTATGTGTGCTAACAGGTAGGTCTAGCTAATGCTATGTGACTGTACTTATTAAGTAACTAAAGAAGCTAACATTGACTTTATCTTGGTTACAGTAGCTTTTACCGACAGGCAGCTAAAAGTACTTTAAAATCTGCAAAGATGTAGCTAACACTGGAGATAAAGAAGAGATTTGAAATGTGTAAAAAAAAAAAAAAATACTTATAGTTAATATAGTTTGAATTGTATTTTTATTTTTTGGCTGTCACCATAAACAGTTAATTATTGAAACACATCAGCAGATACTCAGAGCGCTGTCAGTTCAGAGCTGCAGACAAACAAACACACTCTGTCATAGGTTATGTGTGTGTGTGTGTGTGTGTGTGTGTGTGTGTGTGTTTGTTTATGATGTTGATTGACAGGCGGCCTCAGAGCGTCCTGCAGGCGGTGATGAGGTGAAACTGAATGCAAACATCACTTTGACTGACAGCTGTCAGACTGAAGAGACGCTGTCAGTTTCCTTTTCTTTAGATTTTCAGTCCTCAGTGATGATGCTTTCATCTCACTGCTGTTTTTTCTCCCCACACAGAACAAACATATCAGGGAGGAACCTCGTACACTCGTATCTGTTAAATGATGTTAAAAGCATCTTTTTAGACCCATAAAATGATGTGTGAATGATGTGCGGATAATATTACATTTTATTTAACGCCATTCCTTTGATTGATGAAGTGTTTATTGTCACCAATAAATGATTGGTTATTTTGGTCAGGGACATGGATAATTCCTGGACAACCACAGCTTGTTATTCAGAGTGTATTAGCTTAGTGGAGAAAGTCGTGTATTAAATTGAACATCCTAACCAGCCACAGGAGAACATGAAGCCTGTCAGCTGTCCGTACAACAGAAACACCACAGAAGAAGACTATGTCAGTAAGTTTGTGTCCTCTGTCCTCTGCAGAGACTGGACAGAAGAGGTTCGGATTAAGAAGACAGTGGACGCCTGGATCAGCACTTTAACCAAGGACATCCAGGTGAGTTCACACCTGTGCTGGAACACCTGTAGCCAGATGCATATAACTGTGTAGATTCAGTGTTCACACAGAGACAGAAACATTCTTTATTTATAAAGCCACACATACGGCTGAATCTGTTTTTTAAATCTAAATCATGTGTCGTTGGGCGCATGAGCACAAGCCTCATGTTCACTCCCACAGTTCACCATAAATGGATGGAGAAATGTCCTTAAAGAGCCGTTTGCATGTCGATAGTCGTACCTGCTCCACTGCTCGTTGCACCTGTCAATGAGAAACATGGCAAAGAGGAAGAAGTGCAGTTTCATCGACTGTGTCGCAGCAGCAATGTCTCCAGCAGAGCAGCTGTCATCACGCACAGCTGTGAATGTTTGTAGCATCTGTACCAACCATTCCTCACATTTCTGCAAACCATCAAAATGTCCATCATCTTAATTATTGATTGATTTCGAGCATTCATGTTGAAACTAACTTTATAAAGCGTAGATGATGAAAATATCCATATTTGATACCATTTTTGATACCACAGGAAAATTGTCATTAAGGGGATAAAATTTCAAATGACTATTAAAAATAATTTTCTTGGTTAATAGCAGAGAACAGCAGACATTATACAGAAAAAAGAGCAGCTGGTAGCTGTGTATCAATACTGCAGAAAATGAGGATTAAAACAGTTCCAAATATTCAGAATCAATGTGTTTCAATAAAGCAATATTTTGACAACACTACATTTTACACAGCAGCCTAAAAACATAAGAACATTCGCCATGAAATTGACAATCTATGAACACTGTTACCGTCTCTCAATTTAAATTCAGCCACCTCCTCTCACCTGCACATATCTCAGATCAAGTTTGATTGTCTGTTCTCCTTCTTCATCCTTCTCTTGCTTCTTTTTTCTTCTTCTTTGTCCTCCCCTTGTCCTCAGGCTGAGATGTCCTCAGAGGATGCTGCACTGACATCACAGCAGGGGGCTGCAGGGAGCTCCACCCACACAGGTAGGGGGAGGCCAGTGAGCGCGCCCAAAGGAACAGGAAGTAAGAATGTGGCGGGGAGAGGAAGCAGAGGACAGACATCTGGACACAGAGCGGTCAGTCTGGGCTCTGCTCTGATCGATTGATTTCATTGATTTAATCGCTAACGTACAGGTGACGACTCATTGCTGTGATGCCATTGCTCCCAGCTGCAGGGGGCGAAGCCTGACAGAGCCACAGATAGGCTGGTGGAGAGTGACAGGGAATCGTACCTGACTCGTCTGTACGGCAGAGCTCCGTATGAAGGTCTGAGACGAACCCTGAAGAAGAGTCCCTACCTGCGCTTCAGCTCACCTGCCTCGCCGCTCGGCAGGAAGCCACACCCCCGGCTGGTGGAGAGCGTCACAGGTGAGGATGATTGATTTAAACAATAAACACCAGAGAGCAGAACAGTGTTATAAAACATACGGACTCATCTTGTCTCCATCAGGTGTGAAGGTGAAGTCCTGTAAAACTCAGACATGTTTGGCTCCTCCCATCACTCCGTCACCTGCACGACCTCAGCATCATGACATCATCAGGGCCTCCCGCCTGACCTCTGGTGACCCCACTGACCTTTCAGTGATTCCTGCTGACACTTTCTCCGTTCCCATGGCGATCCCTCTGGGTCAGTAAACTAATAAACATCTGCACATTACTGTTTTTAATATAAGTGTCAGTTTATATGAAATAAACGAGAACAACCAGAGCTAACTGTCTGAACATGAAGGACTCCATTATCCAGAAATCCCTGCACGGTAACAGACATTTATGAAATATAGGTCTTTTTAAGATTTCAGTTAGTCCTCTTTGACGTTTATTAGAAATATTAAAATAAAATCTGGCTTAAATGTAACTTTAATAAATAAAGAATGTCTGCTGCTGTTTCTCAGATTGAATTAAACAAAAAGTAAAAAAAAAAACAAAATTGAATAAAAAAAAGTAGCAAATAAAAATGATAAAACGTTACTAAAAATTAAAAATATAAATAATGATAGAAAATAAATATAATAATAATATAATAATAATGCTAATAATAAATTATTTTAAAAAATTTTTTGAAAAAATAAAATCTAAAAAATTCAAACAGTAAAATGTTAAACATGTAAGTTGTCCTTCCCTCAGGTCGTCCCAGGATCGACTCCTCTTCCAGGTGTCTCACTGAGCGTCGACAGGAAGTGACATCACCACCTGCAGCTCTTCCAGAGTCTAGCATGGTTGCTGTGGACGAAGGAGCACCTGAGCTCCAGTCTCAGGTGAGTCTGACTGTGCCTTCCAGTACCCATACTACCATACTACTTAGTATGCCAGAAAAGATTTAGTATGTCCCACTACACAGTATGTCACATGCGGTAAGCAAGCCAGCATGCTTTTCTGGCTTTTCTGACCCACAATCCTTTGCACATTTGAAGGTACGTCACATCGACTGAGCTGCAAACAGATGACAGCTTGACAGAAGCCGTAATGACAGATGACAGCGTGTTCTAGTGACTGATGACCAGTTGTATAATAAAACTTGGCAAGACATTTAGCTCGAAATCCATTTTATTGACACAAACAAATAAAATATTTGGATCTAAACAATATACAAAAAATCATATGTAAGATAAACTCAATATTAAAAACATTCAGAGGTAATACAGCTAACAGCACAGAGCCACATCACTCAGCAGACGCCTGACTAAGATTCTTGTATCAGTGTCCATGAGGAGCGAGCTCAGTTCACTGGAGTCAGGTCCATACTTCTCACAGATATCCTGTGTAAGAAAGCACACAAGTATATGTTCTTCATTTTGTATCAGTCTGACACAAAACCAGCCTGAAAATGAACAAATGTGAAACGACTGCATGAGAGTCGATGGAGCGCAGCAGTTATGATGTCAGACCCTTGTTGTTAAGCAGCGGAAGGCTGTACTCGGTCGCGCTCGGCTGCTGCAAGTCTCTAGTGTGCTTACTCTACGGGCCTTACCTGCATCATCCAGTTAATTGTGTATGCGGCAGTTGAACCATTTTGACTTTATGCACCGGGGGGTGAACAGGGCCCTGTGTTCAGGGCCCAACTGGTCCAGCCACAGGGTCCAGATTCCCCTCAGTCATTAGTTTAAGGTCCACACAGTTTAATATACTCAGCGTCATACTTGCGTTTGTTCATGTCGTCACGCTAGTTTGCTGTCTTTGTTGTGTAGCCGTCCATTCTCTCACTCTACAACAGGAAATGGCGCGTCAACATAAAAGCTTGTGCCAGAAATTCACTGTACTTAAAAATAAAGTGTGTTTTTTACAAACTCAAGCGAGTCATTTGTGGTCCATTCAGAACGGACCCATGACCCACTTTTGGATCATGACCCACCAGTTGGGAACCACTGATGGGTGGAATGCACCGTGAATCCTCAGGCCAGTCTGTATGAAGTGCTGCTGGCGCCCCCTGCAGGCTGCTCAGCTCATCACAGCCAAACTGCTTGTCATACTGAGGTTGCCATGGTTACCTCCTCTTCCAGAACAGGTCTGATTGGTTCACACTGAGGCCTTTAAAGAAGTTTCTGTTTGAATCAATACACCTCACACTGAGTGAATACACTGAAGATGAACAAACTGATCACATCTGGTTGCTAAGCAACAGCATCAGCTTAAACCTGAAGATGTAAACTGTTGTAAAAAGTGTGACACAAAAAGACCTGTCCGCCTGTGATGATTACAGTTTTTTTCTTTAATTAGTTTTAGTCTTAGTCTGTCTAACAGTGTAGATCATTTTCATGGACTGTTCACATTTATTTGTTTCTGCTTTATTTTTCTAGTTTCACTGAAACTGTGAAATAAAGTTGCATGAAAAACCTCAGAGGAATCAGGAGGTCAGAGGTCACTGACAGGTGTGTTTGTGTTGACAGGAGGAGCAACAGGATGCAGGTGAAGTTCCTCCTCCTCCTCCTCCTCCTCCTCCTGCTGACATCATCGAGAAGAAGAGTGAAGAAGAGGAGAATGAAGAGGACGTTTTCCCTGGAACTGACTTTCTGTCTGTTGCTGACATTGCCCAGGTAACCATCACCTTCCCCCTCCTCCTCCTCCTCCTCCTCCTCCTCCTCCTGGTGTATGTGTCTGAACTGCTGTGAGTGTGTGAAGCAGCTGCAGTCCCACAGCTCCTCCTGCTGGAGACAAACAGACATACAGCCTGTCTATCAGTCAGCATAATAACTCTGTATTCCACCTGGAAGTCCAAACTGGAGCAGGTCACTGCCTCAGGTGTTATTGATCCTCTTTTTATTGATTCAGTTCATCAGTTGGTGTCATTTATTGATTTAAAGGTCCGATGTGTAGGATTTAGGGGGATATATAGGCATAAATGGAATATAATATAATATAATATAATAAGTATGTTTTCTTTAGTGTACGATCACCTGAAAGTAAGAATTGTTGTGTTTTTATGACCTTAGAATGAGACGTTTATATCGCCATAGAGAGCGGGTCCTCATCCATCGCCATGTTGTACCGCTGTGTTTCTACAGTAGCCCAGAACAACCAAAGTAGACCAAACGCTGGCTCTAGATAGGGACATTCACATTATTTAATCAGCTAATGTAGTTAGCCGCCCCTCCACAACAAGCAGCATTGAAAAACACAGACTTTTTTTTTAAGCATGAAACTGCTTTATTCCGTGTTTTTACCAATTTAAATCAACTGGTCTGTCTGTCTGGTCCAAAACCTGCATTACTAATGACAGTATAGCACCAGTGTCTTTGTGTTCACCCTGTGTATGTGAGTGGAGAGCTTGCTACCTTCTACAATCTGTCTTAGCTTTTTCAGCCTTGTAAATGTATGAATAAACATCTTTGTTAAATGCCACAATCATGGAAACACTTTCAGTCCATCAGCCCCAAATAAGCTAGCTGGCCCACTAGCAGTTAGTGCTCACTGCTGTGGGTGTGTGCTTTGTGCCAGTGTTAGCTGGCTGTCACTGTGCAGCGGCTTGTTCTTTCCCTCAGCTCCTTCAGTGAACATGACCCAAGCACATCAGAGCAGAGATTACTGCTTATTTCTTAACAGTTTTGGTACCTAATGTTATATAGGCTACTTGGCAATTTTTTTTAATCATTTAAATTTGGCTGGGTGGTTAATAACACACTTTCCTGTGATGTGACAAACTCAGAGTACATATTTGTCTTTTATTTACCCACACTTCAAAATAACACTTGTCTCTGCTATCCTCTTCATCCTCTTGTTCTTCAGCAGGAGGAGGTGAGTGTTGTGGGTGAGGAGGCGCTGGAGTTGGACGGAGGTCCGTCTCCCCCTCCGGTCCTGTATCAGGGTCCAGTCTTCCCTCCACAGGCGCCCCCTGCCCTCCCTGCCCAGGATCAAGGCTCCATCCCGGGCCTCAACCCGCAGACAGACGCCCTGGAGAACCGTCTGGTGGAATGGTGAGAAACCAGTCTGAACTGGTCTGACACTGACAGAGGTGGTGTTAGACTTTCTTGTTATTTTGACAGACAGGGTTGTGAAAATTCTGTCATACTGTATTATTGGTAGTCATTTTAACTTGTAAAATATTAACGTGACCTCTGACGTTGTGTTTGTGATGTGTCAGGGTGGAGCAGCAGCTCATGTCCAGGATGATCTCAGAGATGTACCGCCCCCCTCTCTCTGACCCCGCCCAGAACGACTCCACAGACCAATCAGAGTCCAGGGAGCAGAGCGTCACCTCAGATATCGGTGAGCAGACGGGCCGAAGGATCAGTCAGAGCATGGTGTTTGGTTCTCATCATCATCAGACTTCATGAGCATGTGTTTGTGTGTGTGAGTTATGCAGGACTTTTATTTGTAACTGAGTATTAATACTTTTACTGAAGTAAAGTATCTGAGTACTTCTTCCACAGCTGCTGTCCGTTGTGTGAAGAGTTATGTTGTCCTGAGTTGAGGCTTGAAGGTGGAGGAGGAGAACCTGACTGTAGATGTTTCTGTGTTCAGTGGAGGCAGCAGGAGGTGGAGGTCTGCAGCTGTTTGTGGACTCCAACATGTCGGTGGACTCGGCTCTGATCCGTCAGCTGGTCAGTGAGGTTCTGGCAGAACACGTGGCCCTGATGCTGGGACAGAGAGACTCCATAGAACCAGGACCAGAGCTGGAACCAGAACCAGGGCCAGGATCACATCAGGAGGTACAGAGTGTTCAGTCCTCAGTCTGTCTGTGTGTTCTGACCATAAACTGATACCTGCTGCTGGTTCTGTTCCAGGACAAACCAGTACCACTGGTCCCTACACCAGTACCAACGCCTCCACCCAGCCCCACACCTTCCAGCAGGGAGACACCAATCCTGACCACACCCCCTCCATCTGAACCAACCAGCCTGCTGAATGAGGAGCCAATCACAGCTCCAGGTGAGACAGCAGTCCAGATGATACCTATATGTGTACATGTAGCATCAGCATTATTAACTGTGATGATGATGATGATGATGATGATTTGTCTCTCTCTGACTGACTGTGACCTCAGAGCCTGTAGCCACGCCGACCTCCAGCCCTGAGCCCGCCCCCTCAGCAGGAAGTCCTCCTGCTCCCCATCAAGCCCCGCCTTCTCTGACCTGGGGCAACGCTGAGCTGCCATTGGACGAGGAGAGACCTGAGGAGCACCTGGATACACGCCCGCAGCCTCTGTACGTACACACCAATACACTCTAATGACACCCAGGTGCATTGTGGGAGATGTAGGACCAGAGATGACTGACTGCTCTCTCCTCCTGCAGGGTGATGTCAGTAGCACAGGAGGAGCCTCCTCTCTCCTCCCCTTCTCTTCCCTCCATCCCTCCTGCTCTGTCCCCGTCTCCTCCTCCTCCTCCTCCTCCTCCTGGTCCTGACCCCAGACCAGCGTCCCCCTCCAGCTCCTCAGAGGACTCCAGCACCAGTAGCACCAGTAGCACCAGTACAGTGACAGCAGGGACTGAAGCAGCGCTGAAGCACATCTCAGAGGGAGAGCTGCTCATCAGTGTCAACCAGCTGGCTGCCATGACAGGTATCTTCATCACCAACATCATCATCATCACCATCATCATCATCAGAATCATTATAATCACTTCGATATCTTTTCTGTTCTCAATATTTAAAACTAAACTTAGAAGCATTTTACAAAAAAACTCACACGACTCTCTGTCCATCTGTCTGACTGTCTGTCTGTCTCTCTGTCTGTCTGTCTGTCTGTCTGTCTGTCTGTCCCTCAGAGGAGGAGGCTGTCTGCAGTTTCTCCAGCTCTCTTCAGGAGCTGCAGGACATGGTGAGCAACATGTTTATAATCACTTGTCACCACTGACAGTAATATTGCAGGCTGTAGTATTTCCTGTGTGTCTGTTTGGTCACTTCCTGTCCCTCCTGCAGGACTTTGACCCCCCCAGTGAGGGACAGGTCAGAGGTCACGAACTCCTGCTGAACAAGATGGAGCAGAGAGTCACACACCCACCCAGAGGAGAGAGGCCACAGCCAGAGGTACATGCACATACACATAGAAGCCCCTTTTGCACTGCCTGTTCAAGGCAGGAATATCGCGTCGTTATTCCGACTCGCCATTTTGTATAAAAGGTACAGATACAGAGAGGAGTGTCAGAGTTGCTTGCCTTTAAGCCGGCAGCAACAGCATCTGTGTAAAGGGGGCAGAAAGCAGGAATGAATAGGTTTGACGTTTTGACGACGTGTTATGTGTGTGCAACTCACCGCTGGTAAATTTTAGAAGTAGCTGTTAGCAGCTAACTCAAAGAAAAAGAACATCGGCCAAAAATGTCCTCGAATTGGGAGAACAGTGAGGTCCAGGAGCTCGTTACCCTCCGAGCAGAGGATAAGATCAGCTGCTATATAATAGAGACCGTGAATGATTGTTTTTGCCATGTCATTGTTTAAGTGCTGCCAACACGAATCTTATATGTCGGACTACAGTCGGATGCTGTTGTATTACATGTCACACCCTTCACACCTCTTTTGCCAGCAAAAAAGGCGTGCTGCCTAAAATCACAGACCCGAGATACTTGAACTCTGTCGCCTCTTGAACCTTCACATATGGTCATGAGCTCTGGGTAGTGACCTAAAGAATGAGATCGCGGATACAAGCAGCTGCAATGAGTTTCCTCCGTGGCGTGTCTGGGCTCAGCCTTAGAGATAGAGTTAGGAGCTCGGACATCAGGAGGGAGCTCGGACTCGAAAGGGGTCAGTTTAGGTGGTTTGGGCATCTGATCCGGATGCTTCCTGGGCGCCTTTTGTTAGAGGTGTTCCAGGCACGTTCAACTCGTAGGAGGCCCCGGGGCAGACCCAGAACACTCTGGGGGATTACATATCTCATCTGGCCTGGGAACACCTTAGGGTCCCCCAGGAGGAGCTGGAAAGCGTTGCTGGGGAGAGGGACGTCTGGGGTGCTTTGCTTGGCCTGCTGCCCCTGTGAGCCGGCCCCGGATGAATGGATGAATATGGATGGATGGCGCAGCTTGACTCTGCCCTCATTTTGCGCTATTTAAAAAAGTGAACGCGACATAAAGAAGGGACGTCGTAGCGATCTCTGTGTAAAAAGAGCTATACACATACACTAATAACACAGACACAAATATACACACACACAGAGTAAACTGTAACCTGCTGTGACCTCAGGGCGCCTGGGGGAGGGATCAGGAGGAAGAGGTGAGCGTGGGTGAGGTGAGAGACGACTGGACCACAAAACCTCACAGGACTGCAAATACCAAGAGCTACAGCAAGAGTACAGCAGGCCAACGGGATCAAACCTCACCTGGACAGATCAGTCAGTGTGCAGGTACGATATGACTGCCTTCAGACACAGCTGAGGGCTTCACTTCACACATTCATTAATGTCACAACATTTGAATATATATTTTATGTTCCATTAGATTCAGACTGTGTCTGCAGGTACACTGGTAGTTTTTAAACAGATTCTTTTCTTCTCTATGGAAACAAGCCCAAAAGAAGCAACGGATACATATATATAGAGAAAGGTGACATTTAGAGAGCAAGCCCAAATAAGCAACTCCACTTTAGAAACAAGCCCAGAGTTGCGGCTCATAAGCAGACCTGGCAACCCTGCGGCTTCTCCTCCTCACATTTCTTACGTCCTCCTGCGTACTGACGTGGGACGTATCCCGCCTCTCATTGGCTGATGCTCTTTGTCAGTCGTTTCACACAGTTTTCTAGCATGCCAGATATCCAGTCCCAGTCGCAGATGAGGGGGCGACTTGCTCGTAGGCTTGTTCACACATGAGGACTCGTCGTGGCAGACTATCTGCCGACTCACCTTCGACCCAAGGTGGCTCTCAAGATCCTCTGCAACGTCAAAATCGCAGTGAAAATCGTGTAATGTGAACTAGGCTTTAATATAACCCTATTTCTAACAGATGTGTCAGAGGGCAGTTTAGGAGCAACCAATCAGGACTCGGTTGCCATGGGTGACCTGACGATGGAGCCAGTTGGTACGCTGACCTCTGACCTCCAGACTGACCTGACACTGTCTCCTCCTCCACACCTGGAGGACACACACACAGCGGGACAGGTGACAAACTCACTGAGACACACACACTGAGACACTGCTTACTTAGTGAAGTGAAATCAACTGACTGTGTGTGTGTGTGTGTGTGTGTGTGTGTGTCTGTGTCTGTGTGTGTGTGTGTGTTCAGGTTGTTGCTGTCAGACCAATCCACAGACAAACAGGTAAGAAGCTCAGTGATGGTGTCCTTTTAAAGTAGGTCGTCCACATGCTTTTGTCCACACGGTGTTTGTATATGACCACCAGAGGGCGCTGTAGTTCCACCACTCACTGTCTGTCTGTTCAATAGTTCCCTTGTTACTAATTCCATCAGTGTGTGTCTCTCCCAGTCAGTTCCACTGGTTTCACTGGTCAGGACTCAGAGATTCAGACTGGTCTCTGGGTGCTTTGATATTAACTTTGATTTATAGCAAGAACTACTTGTATAGTCGTTTTATATATATATATGTATATAAAGCAAAGACACTCATTAAAAACACACACACATACACACACGCACACACTGAAAACATTGTGTATGTGTGTGTGAACAGCTCCACACTGACTGCAGCCTCTCTGTCACCAGCTCTCCATACATGGTAATGTTTATACTGACTGAGCTGCTTCAGTGTATTGTTACACTGTGTGTGTGTGTGTGTGTGTGTGTGTGTGTGTGCTCATTACAACAATAACAGCAGAGTTTCCTCAGATTTCATCAGTTATCAGCTGATATTTTGGTTTATTGGTTATAAATGTTATTTACATGTTGTGTGTCTTAAAGGGACAGTTCACCCCAAAATCAAAAACACGTTTCCTTTTACCTGTAGTGCTGTATATCAGTCTAGATAGTTTTGGTGTGAGTTGCAGAGTGTTGGAGATATCAGCTGTAGAGACGTCTGTTTTCTCTCCAGTATAATGAAACTCAGCTTGTGGTGCTCAAAGCACCAAAAAACTATTTGAAAAATGACTCAGTTACTCAAGATAATCCACAGACCTTGTTGTGAGCAGCTTCATGTAGGAACTATTTTATGTCTACTGAACTACACCTGGCAACTGTGTCACCGCGCAGAAGGAAGCCTGCTTTTACTCATGGACGTGAGGCTCGTGCTCGTGACAGTGTGAGATGTAAACTTTAATGGTGTCCTCGTCGGTAACTTTAGCTAGCTCAGTGGTGCTACGGAAGCTAACAGTAGATGCATGCTCTCTTCTGTGCAGTGATACGGTCGGCAGCTGAAGTTTAGTAGAAAGTAAGTGTAATGTCCCCACATGTCTCGTGAAGGAGTCTCAGGTCTGAAGAGGAGGACACGTGTTTCATTACTACACTTTGATTAAAGTCAGAAAACCTCAGCAAAGTTTTACACAAATATTTTATACTTCTTTTCTCTTTAAAGCAGTACTTCAGTTTTGTAAAGCTGCTGCTGATGATGTGACTTTAGCCCAAATCTGATGATCTGCTTAATGATAAACTACAATTTAGCCTTTTATAGCATAGTTAGCTGCGATCATTAGCCTGGTGATTAAGGGGCCGTACGCATGCCACATCTTAAACCGCTTGCTAGGCAATCTTAACAAGCACCGTATCAAACCTGATGTACCTGAAACCCTGAGAGCAGAGTTGATCTTCTTCCAGGAGCTGTTTATAAGTGTGTAGGCCTATCGTCTGTGGGACAGATGTAAAGCTCTGGGTAGCCCTGCACTAACATATATATTATATATATATTTACAGAAGAAGGGAAAGATATCTGTCGGCTGTGATTGGTTGTTCCTCGTCACATGACATGCGGTGTGCGCTGCTGTGTTCCAAATGTTGAACTCAGTTTATCTCAAAGTGCAGCCGTCTCTCTCTGGCGTTTGAGCGCGCCTGCCGTGCGTCTACATTGAAAATAGGGCTGCAACTAACGATTATTTTCATTGTCGACTAATCTGTCGATTATTTGTTCAATTAGTCGACTAATCATTTTATCGAGAAATGTGTTAAAATGTTGAAAAATTGTCGGTCTGTCTCTCCCAAACCCCAAAACTGTCATCTAATGTCTTGTTTCATACTCACACCAAAGGTTTTTAGTTCACTGTCACGGGAGAGTGTGTAAAGCTGCCAATATTTGAACATAAGAAGCTGCAATAAGAGTATTTTGGGGTACTTTTATAGTACTTTTCTATGACTCAAACCGATTAGTCGACTACTAAAATAGTCACCAGTTATTTTCATAGTTGATTACTCATCAGTTAGTCGACTAATTGTTGCAAAACAATTAATTTGAGGGCAGAAAAACGTGGCATGTGTACGGCCCCTAAAGGAATACTTCAGCCACTGAATGATCATTTGTTTATCAGTTACTCAGCGTGTGTTCCGTTAAATTCATGGAGGAATTTTTTTTTTCTTATGGGCCTCCACGGTGAACGGAGAGTCCAAAAGAGGCTAATTTTCTTCATGAATTGAAGTAAAGAGGGACCACCTTTAACAACAGCAACTTAATCAAACCATCCGTTTACAAACTCTCACACAACTCGTGCAGTATAATCCAAGTCTCATTTATCCAGTTGTACGCTCAGTATTTCACAAACACATGACTTTTACCTAGAAAACTTTACTATTTAAAACTGATCTGAAAGTGAAACTTATCTATGTTCTCTTCAAAACCAGATTTCATTGATCAAAACACTCATTTTACCTCCCTGAACACAGGAGCTGCTGGTCTACCCCTGCCTCCATCAGTTGTTTTGTTTGTGTTGTGTGATTTTGGGCTATATAAATAATATTAGACTAAATCCAAATTAACCTTTAACAAATTAACCCAGAAGTTTTAATATAACTTTGCTGTTGTTAAATGTGGTCTCTGTTTTTGGATTCTCCGCTCACCGTGGAGGCCTGAGAGAAAACTGATACACACGGTCATTTTGTGGGTGAAGTGTTCCTTTAATCATCTCCTCAGACTGATGTTTTCTCCCGAGGTTCAGCGGTCCGCTCTGCGCTGGGTGTAGTGTGTGAAATGTGTGTAGTTTGAATGTAAACAGGAAGTAGCAGCATCAGTGGGATCAGTGTGTCTGGATGAGAGTCAGGATGTGGAGTCAATAAACTCACACATACACACACACACACACACACACACACACACACACACACACACAGATCCTGTACTGAAACAACACACAGTCAGTGATGTGTGTCAGTGTTTACTTTACACACACACACACACACACACACACACACACACACACAGGCTTTGTATTCTCAGCTGAACTGAACGTCTCTGTTGTGTTTAGAGATGCCATATTCTTTGGAAGAAAAAAAAAAAACAGTTGTAACTGGCGCGTAGTGAATCTTGGGGTAGGTTCAGGGCCACGCAGGACTCCTCAGTTTCACCCCCCAAATTCAGGGAAAGAAGGCCTCATTTTTTTTGGCCACATTTGAAGGAGTGTTCGAGATGGGACAGCCTCGATTGGCCCCTGTGACAAAATCGGTCTTCAAATGCTGCCATCGACTGCTGCAGTCTGAATTGAGACCCAGCTTGTGTCTCATTTATCACATTGTCACGATCTGATCATTAATTTATTTGACTAAAACCACAGTTTGAGATGAAACACAGTGAAAGTACTTTCAGGTGTGATCCACACGCGCGTGTACAAGTGTGTCATATCCAGGCATTAATACAAATAATCCAGAAGCATCACAGTGTTTTTTATGGTGTGAGAGAGTGCATGGATGTAAGTGAATGTCTGGTTGTCATGGAAACATGTTAGAAGTTAAAGCAGGCGTGTTTGCCATCACGCATCAGCGGCCAATCTCAGAGCATGTATTTATAAGTGTGTGTGTGTTTGTGTGTGTAAAGTTGAAGGTCTGTCAGTGTCATCTTTGTCTCTGTGATTTGAACGAGCTCGGTAACCACGACGACCGGCTAACGGAGGGACGTGTTGTTACTGTGTTGCCAAGGAGACGCAGAGAGCGATGAGAGCAACAGGAGGAGAGAGGTTTTTATTTGAAGGCAGGAGTAACAGAGCAGTCTCATGCTCTGATTATTATTATTAATGTTATTAATAACCCAACAGACTGAACAGAAGTCATTTCTTCAGGCTGATCTGACATCAGATGAATGTGAGGATGAGGAGGGAGCAGCTGTTGTAGGGTGACGTTACTGACTGATCTGACATCAATGTCCTGGTTTATTTAACTGGTTCTGTTTGAACATCAGACATCTTAATGACACTTCAGGTTTCAGTCTGTAAACTAAACATCTGGTATTTGATAATCTGATGAACTGATGATATTATTATTATTATTTCCACATCCAGTACAGATCAACATAATGATCAGAGCTTTTTCTGAACCAGACAGGAAATGTGCTGCAAAACTAAAACTAGGAGCTAGAAGAGGCTGAAGAGCTGCAGAGATGGAGACAGACCATTCTCTGAGAGTTCATCACTAACCAGAAACTGGGTTTCATCCACCTGTTTTTATTTTTCAAAAAGTACAAATAAGAAGAGTTTCCTGTGTGAGGTGTGACAGTAGTTTTGTGGATAAAAGCAGGAACAGGGTGAGTAAATAAATGATGACATACATGAGGAGCTGAAACATGATGATGATGAACATGATACACATACATGAAATATTTCAGCATGTTTTCCTCCACATTGGTATTGCACGTTTCTGCAAACCTCAGATAATGTTACATTTACGTAGCAAATACGTTGAAACTTTAAATTTCAACAATGCTGTGGTTAATGTGTGTTCAGATTTAAGTACAAAAATCATTTGGTTATAGTTAAGAAAGGTCATGTTTTGGCTTAAAGTACCTGGTTTTGGTGGTACCGTCTCTGCTGGAAACAGCAATGACTCACTAAACCTCTGATCACACAGAAATTATTTTAGCAGGCACCTTTCTGTAATTGTTTTTAATGAGAGTGAAGCTTTTAACTTGATGAAAAAAGCTGTCCTTTAACTTTGGCAAGATCGGTTGCCGTTATAGTTTAACAGCATTCGGAAAGACTTGGGAAACGTGGCGAGACAAGAACTAAAGTTAAGGCAGCGAAAGTCCCAGTAGGGAGAGTGGGAGTGGGGGATGGGTCCAACTAACTGTGACTTTCACCTGGGAGAGCGGTGTTCACGTCCTGTAAGATTATAAAGCCAAACCCTGTTCTTTTTTCCTAAACCTAACTATGTGCTTTTGTTGTTGAAGGAAAACCCTCTTTTTTAGGGTCTCATGTACCCACACAGATCTCTGTTTATCTGCTGACAGCCTCTCACCCTCAACCAGCGCTACAGACAGTACCCTCTGCCTCAACATGGCAGCAACTACACACTGATTACTGGAGGATAAATACAATAAAATAAATGGAAAGGTCAGGGTGAGGAGGTGATGGGGTGGTTGCCTGGCAATAACGAAAAGGTGCAGCAAGAGTTGATTTTTTTACAAGTGGTATTCAATTTTAAAAAAAGAAAAAGGCAGTGCAATGAGCCTCGCGTTTTTGCAACCTGCAAAATGCTCTCTGACACGCTCTCTAAAAAGCAGCAGGTTTTGTTGTTTGTTGGTCATCAACAGTGGTCTGCAGCTTGGCAGGCGTCTCTCCTGGGTGTCACACCATCCACCATCCCCTCGACCTCCAGGTGACAAAGTCAGCTCACTTTAGTTGTTAGTATGAAACGTACAAATGTAACGTATTTGTAGTTTGCAGAAATGCCAACATTTTCTCCTGGAAACTGAACTGGGTTCTCCAAGGTCTGAGCTTTTAATGGCACAAACCAGCTGTTTATATATACTCATATTCACGCAGCAGCAGTGGATTGTTTTTTTGTTTTTTTTAATCCAGTTCAAATCAGAGCTGAGTTTGTGTGACGCGTGATATGACTCCTGACAGAGTCAGTGTGAGAGGAGCAGACCTCCAATATGGCCGCTGGCTCCTCTCTGACTGATGTTTGTTCTCACAGTGAATCTGTGAGAACCGAAAACACACTGAGGTTCTCTGAGAGGAACCACACACTGAGAGCTGCTGGTTGTGTGTTTACTTACTCTCATGTTTCACACACACACACACACACACACACACACACTGAGCTCAGTGTTTTTACCCAAACCCTCCATCAGCAGCTCACACTGCCTCCATTCACACACTCTGACACTGTGTGTGTGTGTGTGTGTGTGTGTGTGTGTATGTGTCAGTCAGTTACATCTATAAACTCCTCTTTCTCTCAGTTTGGTCTGTGGAGACTGACAGGACTGTAAACATGTGCCTTGTACTGAACGCCTGTATATTTCTGTTGCTGTCGTGAGTCAGAGGCTGATATTGTTCATGTGTTTGTTACAGCATCTGAATGTTTGAGCAGCAGTGACTGATGTGTTCACAGAAGCTGTTAGAAAAGTTACTTGTTGTGTTTTCTGTCTGGAAAGTGTTTGATTTATTATAATCAGCTGGTTGTACTTAAATGTAATTCACATTTAATGAGTAAATATAATCTACAGCTGATGTGTTTGTTTCTGCAGCCGAGCAGCAGCAGGGAGGAGGCGGGAGGGTGGACGTTCACCTGCCCTCCATTACACCACAGGAGGAAGAAGAGGAAGAGGAGGAGGAGGAGGTAATGGAGGAGGTCAGTGCAGCTGCAGACACAGAGTCCTCCTCTGATGATGTTTTCTAGGAAGAAAAGACAAATATCATCATCATCATCTTTATTCTAACAGGCTGATGATTTGAGGATGTCACACTTTGCTTTAATAAAAAACACTGTCAGACTGTAAATACATGTTTTTAATAAACTTTTACTTTGAAATCTCTCTGCAGTCAGCTGTAATGTGTTTATGTTTGTGCTCAATTTGTAATTGCTTCTTTGTCTATGATGTCATACATCAATGCGCTGTCCAGATGGCGGGCAGCTAAGTGGAGGCAAAGACTACCAACAATACACACATGACTATAATTTGCGCTGTTTACGGCTGTTGCAGCAGATAAAATCGGGGAAAAGCAAAAACCACCTGAAGCCCCGAAAATAGTAAGATATAAAATGGAGAAGCAAAAAAACACGGCAGCAAATGTGGATCAAAAACCTTCGTCTTCAGTCTGGAGGAGCGGAGTCAGCTACGTCAAACATCAGCAATAGTGCCATGAGTTGGATACAATTACAAACTTCTGTGGCAACGTCTATGTGTTTTTAGCCACAACTCAGGTTTTTGTTTCACCAGACCTCCTGGAACAGTTGACATAGTAGGTAGGAAATATAAAATCGACACCAGTGATCATAGCATCCTTCTAAATGCATGTCATAAGAGTCAAGTGATTGCATCATAGACTGTAAAAATAATGGAAGTAGCCATCGCGACGTCACCCATTGGTTTGTGGACTGCGGTTTTGAAGCCTCAAGTTTGGCATTTTGGCCGTCGCCATCTTGGATTTCTGGAGCCAGACATGCAAATATTTGGATGAGAGGGTGGATCTGACTGAGGGAGCCACAGACTTTGCTGTGCTAAATTGCCGATAACAAAGTTAGCTTCCATAACTCGAGGCAAACTTCAGAGGTAAGTTTTAAAGTCAATTTAGTGACGTTAGCTAACTGCATACATATCCACATTTGGTAAATATTACATATAAGAGGAGTAACGTTAACCTTGTAATGTTATTGTAGCGTTGGTTTAAGTTAACATTACAGTGTGTAGGTTAATGTTAAAGTGTGTGGTTAGCATAGCTGCAATAATACGGTGGTTATCATGTTAGTCGTCTCGATGTGCTGATCGCTCAAAAGCTAGCAGATGAAATTTAGCTATTTAACTCAGTTAACGTAACATCACAAAAACCGTTTTTGATTGTAATATTCTCCCAGCTAAACAGAGTAACGTTACAATTTAACGGTAAGTCAGTGTGCATTAATATAAATGTTTCGTGGTTAAGGTCAGTGTTTGTAGGCTTTTTTTTTTCTGCATGCAGGTCCTGTTCCTTTCAGTGTTGATGACAGTCGTCAAAAACATCTGTTGGAATGATTCTGTCTTTCAGCCTGTCAGTCAAAGTGGCCACGCCGTTAATTATGCAGAACTTTAAGCCTTAATAACATTTGAACCGAATCATTATATGAAGATTCAGCCCTTGTACAGTTGTCATGAATGATGAAATAAACCATAGACACCAAAACTGTTTCTGTACCAGGCTGTAAACATGTTTATTTTAGCTGTAAAGTTGGGCATTTTAACATGGAGGTCTGTGGGGATTTGATCTGTTTTGGAGCCAGCCTCAAGTGGCCAGTCAGCGAACTGCAGTTTTTGGCACTTGAGCATTGGCCTCACTCGTCAGCCGTGGAAGTTGCTGCTTGAGCTCATTGGTTTATTTCAGTAAAAACAGCAGAAGAAGAAGAAAGTTGTTCGAACCGATCACAGATAATTTGTGGCTTTGATTCATGCAGGTAAATAAAAAATAAAAAGTTAAGATGATTTTTTTTTCTATGAAAACAAAACAGTTGAAGCTCTTTTTGTTTTGTGAGTTCAACAAAATAAACTCTCTGTACTTCCACCATGAAGGTCGGTTTATTATTTTCTGTGTCCTTATGAAGAATCAGACGGGTGGAGCTGCAGCGATCAGATGACCAGTCTCTGATTAATTTATCCTCGTTTCTGCTGTACAGACGATAACTGCGGGAACATTAACTGTTCTCTTGCCATAACACACACACATTCTTGTACTTCTATCTTTGTGAGGACCCTCGTTGACATAATGCATTACCTGACTCCTTACCCTGTGTATTCATTGACCTATTTATCTATTTTCTTATCTCATAAATCTCATCAGCAGTCGCCAGGTTATTTCTCCAGAGACCCTGAGGGACAGGAGCATCGTTAATAAAAACAAAGTTTCAGTTGCCCCACGTGCGGTGAACAAGTGCCCTCAGATTTTAGCTAAAATTTTAATTATTCTAATGTTCATGGGGGTCTTAAAACCCCTATCAGGGATCATAGAAGGACATATTTAAGTATTCCCATGCTACCAGTCCCCGGGAGACCATGCCCCTCGAAGCTCTCTCTTGTTTTTTTAACCTAAACCTAATTCTCACCTGAACCCTAAAACCAAGTCTTAACCCTAAAACAGGCCTTTTAAAAAGTGAGGACCGGCCAAAATGTCCTCACTTTGCAAAAGTGTCCTCACTCTATCGCTAAAATGCAGGGGGGTTGGTCCTCACTATGTAGCATGTACAAGCACAAACACGCACATACACAGAGTGCAGAGAGCTGATATCAGCACACACACTGTCAGTGAAGCAGAAACACACACACAGTCAGTGTGTGTAGATAAGAGGATGATAAGCAGGAAGTGGGATTAGTGAAGCAGCAGGAGAGGCAGTGAGACTGATACCAAACACAACACACGCACATTTACACACACACACACACGCACACACACACACACACACAGACTGAGTCCTGCAGGCTCTCATCAGCAGAAGCCGCAGCTTTTGAAGTCAATCTGACAGTTTTCATTCAGACGTGAAACATTCAGCGTTCAGTGTGTGTGTGTGTCAGAGTATCGATCGGCCTGATTGATCAGCTCTCTGTGGATCTGTGAGTTTCTCTGATGATCGATATTCTCAGACGAAGGATTAAACTTTGTTCAGATTTAACGAAGCTCCAGACGATCATCTGATCTCAGGCCTCAGGATACAGCACGCGCACACACACACACACACACACACACACACACAAACACACCTCCATGTATTTATAATTGATCAGATCATTAATAATTAATATGTGTTACAAAGAAAAGAAGTCTGATTATAAAGAAAAGATCTTGTAGTTTGAAATGAAACTAAAGGTTTAATATTTTACGTTTTTATTTCAGTTCTGCAAACTAAATGACAAATATCAGTAACTAACCTGTAGTCAGTTTTCGTGAGACCTGAACGTCCGCAGACACGAGAAGAAATCAGATCCTGAGTGGAAACAAACACTGATGATGATGATGATGATGAAGGAGTCCTTGATCTGGTTCTGGACTCGTGGTGTCCCCTGAGGTTCCTGTGTGCATTAAATATCCATAAATATCTACAGAAGCTTTAAAGCTCTTTGTTTGTTATGAATTCTTTATCATCTCTATTGTCTTCACTTTATTTCTGTCCTCCGTGTTCGTGTTCAGATCTCAGATCAGCTTCAGTCCATCAAAGATCTGAAGGATCAAACAAAGAAGAAGGAAATAGACTTGTATCTGAGAACGGTTTCAATTTCGGATGAATCATTTTCTTCATAAAACATCAGAAAACAGTTAAAAAGACTCCAACATGACGTCTTCACATGTCTTTAAATGTTTGTCCAACATTTCAAAACACAAATAGATTCAGTTTACTGAGAAACAGTCTTATCTCAGTTTATCTCGTCTTATCTACTCTTGTGTTGTACTATAGCTTGCCTGATATCTTCATCTCTTCTCATCTCATCACTCGTCATCCTATTCCAACTCATCTCATCCTATCTCGTTTCATCCAATTTTACCTGATCTCATCTCACCTTTTCCCCTCCCGTCACATCTCATTTTGAGGATAGCTTCATCTCCTCTTATCTCTTCTTGTCTTGTGTCATCCGTCACATAGCCACTTATCTCACTTTATCTCATCCTATCTCAAATTGTCTGGCCCCATCTTTTTCCAGCTCATCTCATCCTATCTCGTCTCACCCCATTTTACATCATCTCTACTCACCCTTGTTCTTTCCTATTTCATCTCGTTTGTACTCCTGTGTTTTATTTGTAGCCTATCTTGTCTTATCTCATCTCATCTTCAGAGATTCAGTTTACTGAGATAGAAACAGAGAATCTTATCTCATTTTATCTCGTCTCATATACTCGTTTTATTTGGCTGATATCTTAATCTCTTGTCTCATCACACAGCATCTTGTCTCATTTTATTATCTTACCTCAAATGATCTCACCTCATCTTGTACCAACTCATTTCACCCTATCTCATCTTGTCCTATCTTGTCACATCCCATTTTTTCCAGATCTCTTCTCACCTTGTTCTCACCCATCTCATCTCTTCACGTCTTGTCTCATCACAAAGTGTCTTATCTTATTTTAGCTCATTCTATCTTAAATTATCTGATCACATCTTGTTCCAACTCATTTCATCCTATCTCATCATCATCATCATATCTCATCCCATTTTACCTATTCTAATCTGTTTCCTCCCATCACATCTCATTTTTAGGATATCATCATCTCATCTCATCTTTTCATGTCTCATCTCATCTTGCCTCACAGCGACTTATCTCACTTTATCTCATCCTATATTGAATTGCCTGTCCCCATTTTTTTTCAGCTAATCTCATCCTATCTCGTGTCAGCCCATTTTTCCTGATCACTTCTCACTTTTGTTCTCTTCTATCTCATCTCTTACCTACTCATCTCTTCTACTATGTTGTATTTCTAGCCTGATATTTCGTCCCATCTCTTCTTGTCTCATCTTTAGAGATTTAGACCGCGATAGAAACAGAGGATCTTATTTTATCTCGTCTCATCTACTGTTTTACCTCATCTGTCATCACCCCATTCTCTCCTGTCTTATCTTGTTTTGAAGGATATATTCATCTTTTCTTTTCATATCTCATCTCATCTTTTCACACAGCATCTTATCTCACTTTAGCTCATCCTATCTCAAATTATATGGTCTCATCTCATTCCACTGCATCGGACCCCATTTTACATGACATCTCATCCTCGTTCATCTCATCTCATCTCGTCACATGGCATCTTATCTCATTTTAGCTCATCCTATTTTTTCCTATCACAAATTATCTCAGCTTATCTT